GTGGAAAACTCAGGAAACATTCAAGCATGTGAACATTCCTTTTGATGAACCCTAATGAACATGAAGCTCTTCTCTCTAGCACTTCTCCTGTTTTCCAGTAAGAAAATTGTTTTTGTTTGTTTGTTTTACTTGACTTGATCTCCACACCAGACCCTTCGTTTAACCTTTTTGTTTTCTTCGTTGTCCAGGATTCTGTTGCAGTGTGAAAATATATCAGCCACCTTTTACTTTGAGCCGTGAAGGAGAGAAATCGGTGACGCTGCAATGTGAACAGGACAATGATGAATATTTATACATGTTTTGGTACAAACACGCAGACTTTAGGCAAATGCAGCTGTTAACGTATTCTATTAACAAAGGTATTCAAACCACTGAAGCTCCATTTAATGAGACAAAGTACTTCATGTCACGTCCTGCGGTGCGTAATTCTAGTCTGCACATAAAGCGAGTGGAGCCTGGAGATTCAGCTGTGTATTACTGCGCCTCAAGACTGCCACAGTAGCACAGACTCACTCTGTGGCTCATCAACAACCCCAACATCACAGCAGGTCAACGGCTGACAAGCAGCTCACTCAGTCTCCCCGCAGATGTTTGTTTTTGTCAAAACTCTTTGTGTTCAATTAGTAAAGCTTTGGCTTGACTTTAAGAATTTGTCTTTAAATTATATATTAGATTTGATTATATTTGTATATTATTTGTTTAAAAGTGTAATTTAGAAATGTAATAATAGTATTTTTCTTAATTTTCTTAATTTTTTAAGAAGAGAATAGAAAATAATGCTCTTGAATTTGTTACAATTTGAAGGTAACATGATTCAGATTTCCAGTTTATCTATAATTTTTCTGTCCTGATTAAGATACATAGATTATTTCAGCATCCTGTTTGTTATGAGACTGGAATTTTGTTTATTTATTTATGTCATTTGTAGAAAATTGTAATCCAATTTTTTTTTACTGTCGTTTTTAATCATTTTACTATTTTTTCTCTAAATGTACCGTTGTGAAAAATTTTGTTCATATATTTTGTTACACATTGAAATGAATCAAGCATTATACATTACATAAGGCCATTTTTGTGCATATTATGTTTGCATTAAAATGCCTCAAAATATATTTACAGCACTAAATATAAATATGAACCTGAAACAGTCACAGACAAAAATCCAAGGCAGACCTGCAGGTAGTCACATGACAAAACACATTCAGTGATATCAAAAAAGGCGCTGCACAAACATGAAACTGATTGGAAGTAAAAATCAAGCACAAAGGTTTAAAAAAAAAAACATAACAGCAGCACAAAGACAAAGTAACAGGAGGGAGGCCTAACAAAGACTGGTGACCAGTGTTGGGCAAGTTACTTTAAAAAAGTAATTTGTTACTGATTACTTCTCCAAGAGAGTATGTTACTTTTCTGATTACTTGTTTTCAAAAGTAATTACTTACCTTATTACTTAGTTACTTTTTAAAAACATGACACGCAACCTGAATATGTAATAAAACAACAGACCTTTCAGCCCAAATCTATTTTTTTCTGCATAATCCATCATATAAAATTGAATCAAATGAAAACATCCATCCATTCGCTTATCCTTTTCAGGGTCGCTGGAGCCTATCCCAGCTGTCATAGGGCGAAAGGCGGGATACACCCTGGACAGGTCACCAGTCTGTTGCAGAGCCAACGCATAGGGACAGACAACCATTCACTCGCACATTCACACCTAGTGACAATTTGGATTATCCAATTAACCTATCCCCACAAGCTGCATGTCTTTGGACAGTTGGAGGAAGCCAGAGAGAATTATTTAACATTTAAACCTATTTTCTGCATATTTCAGCATATAAAATAAGATAATGTTTTTGTGTTTACACTCCCTCTTTCAAATAGATGCAAGTAAAACACAGCAGAAAATAAATAAAATCAAAGACTCAGCAGCTCTGAGTCCTGTCGCTCTTAAATCTAATTTTCACCTAGCAGGAGTGGGGCGGGTGGAGGTTTGCCGATGCAGCAGCGGTCATCAAAGCGGGGTTTCTCTGTGAATTTCACATTCCCGTGGTAGCGTGCTTGGCGCGTACTCAGATTTGAAGTTTCATTTTTCAAGAAAGAAGTTTTCTTCCCACTCAGAGTAACAGCGGACGCTAATGTTTTTGCCACTTTTACAGAATCAAACTCAAAGTAATGTCAGTACTTCCAAGCTTTAAACGCTGCATGGTCGTACTCTCTCCCGCACTCCATATTATTCATTGTTAATCTGCACACGTCTGTTGCTGCCTCATACGTCATTGTCATGAGACACTCTCAAAAACAAAATCACAGTTTAGTAACGCAGTAACACTGCGAGCTTACGGGAAAGTAACAATAATCTAATTGCTTTTTTACAATAGTAATCCCTTACTTTACTCGTTACTTGAAAAAAGTAATCGGATTACAGTAGCTGACCATCTCGTGACTGAAATGTTACATTTGCTCTAGTCTGCCTAAAAACAATTCCACAGTGTGGAAAAAGCCCCTGCAGCAGTGTTTGCATACCAATTGAAAAAATGACAGCATCCCCTCACTGCCACTCAGGAATCTCTCAGCTCCTCAGTTGAAATATCACTGAAACCCTGGTAGATGATGTCCTTATGTATAAATTATACCTGTTACACCTCACAGTAATTCTCCAATTTTGAAATGATCTTCCTGCTTGTGTATACTATGATAAAATAAGTACTTTATACTATACGTGCAATTTTGTACATTATGACAATTATGGTTTAAAGTGGAAATTAGCAAGGGCGAACCCTCAGTCACAATTCATTCTTCTCTGGTAGATTTTTCTTTGCATAGAGATCAGCCGGCTTTCTCTGCTGATACCAAACCACGTCTTGGATTTAGACATCCTGAGCCATCATGCCTAACCTTTCACCTCTTGACACTATAGAACTAGTGCAAAGGTCTTATTTAGTGAATGAATCAAATCAGCATTTAAACTGATGTTAGGTGGGGCTACGGTAGCTCTGCTGCAGTCCAACATAGTAATTGACTGCAAACCTCAGCACAGTACAGACAGACATTTCACAATATGAATAAACCAATACGTGATTAAAAACGCTGAAATGGGACATTAGCTAATATTTTCATTTACATTTCCAGTTTATCAAAAATTACTAAAGTGTGAAAATAATCTCTGATCCTTATCCCTATTTTTCTCGTCTCTCTTTGAGCATGATTGGTATTCTAGTTGCCCCACGCTGCCTTCCAAATCGAAGGTCACAAGCTATCTGTTTTTCAGCTTTAGTTTGCTCCGCGGTTTTTAGATTTCTGACATGGTGAGGTAATCCAAAAGTACAAGCAGCTTGGACCATGTTCTGTGATTTTACCCACATAGAGCTTTTTCTAGAAAAATTTAGCTGAGGCAAAACTTGATCAGCAGCAGAGGAGCAGTCACTGATCCATGAAGTCATAAAAATGTAGCTGTTTCAGTTGGCTGACATGTCTGCAGTACCTACCACAAAGCTGATCAGTTAGATAAGTGCACAGGTGCTATAACAGAGGGAGCAGTGTCCCGTACAGTGTAGCTTCTCAGCATCCACATATCTTGCATTTTGCTATTCTGTGTTTCTTTTTCTCTTATTCTTTAAGTGTTTGCTGTCTGAGCACACAGTTGTTTTGTTTAAGAACAAGTTGATCACAGCCTGACCTCTGCTGGCTGAAGTTGGTGTTACATATGTCTGAAAAATCATGCTGATGATGACCCTTCAATGAGCCGGGCCCATCTCAGATTATATTTATGTCTAAAGTTATACCAAACTGATTTAACTTCGTGCTTAAGCATGAACCAAGGTCCAACTGCATCACTGTTAAAATTCTTTAAGAAAGGACAAACAAATGTTTTATCAGTTGTCCCACAACTTTATTTCTCATGTCGCGTTTACGTTTATATTTGTTTATTACAAAATCACATAAGATCTTTTTTTCCCTTTTTTTCCTTTTAGGATTCTGGCACTTTTAGAAATAAAACATCAGTATTAATGTGTTTGATATGTTTTTATTTTCCATCTAAAAGTTTCGTTGTGGTTAGAAAACAGTAAAGTGAATAATTTGAGCCTCCACAGCAGTGTGTGTAATTCTGTCAGGATGAACAATCTGAAAAGAAAGCAAACAAAATGTTGTCTTGACTGCGATTGACTTTGAAAGGGTTTCCCTTCATATCTGATAAGTTTGATCATATACTCGCTTTCCTTTTTATTCATCTAATAGCCTTGTAGGGGTGTCAAACCATAGGTTTAATCACTGTAATTTGGGAAACATTATCAAAATGATGATGTGGAACTGCTGATTTCCTCCAGTTTTATACTGACTGGGCGGAAATAAAGAGGTGTGACCAGAGAAGACGTCACCATGCAGCTACTGTATATAGAAACACGGGCTTCGTTTTCTTTGTGCGTCTTTTCTTAGCAGTCACAGAAATAGCAGCATTCATGCTCACCTCAGGCCTCCAGGCAGCCTGCACAGCTGCTCTCATCCACCAACAGAGAAAGATGGAGGCTGAGATATGAAAATGCTGGGTGGGGGGAGGAAAGACAGCAGCAAAGTGAAGTCAGGTTTTTGTCTAGTGCTTTTTCACTGTGGGGACAGGGGGGGCACGGTGATACAAACCAATAGAGCCGCCGTACAAAAACCTCCTGCATTTAAAATGCACAGCGAGGAGCTCTGCAGATTACTTTCAACACCTGAAAAGCATAAAATGAGCAATATTTTAAAACGTGCAGGCAGCCCTGCTCTTACTGCACAGAAATATCATTAGTGAGGGAATTTGTTTAGAATTCAATAAAAATTTAAACACAGTGCAGCTTTTGAGTTTATTTCACTCATCTTTCTTTTTTAACTAAAACTCAGTTGGTGGGATTAACATGTCCTTTGCTAAAATTCCAAGTGTTTAGTGGGAATTTAGTCTCATTTCAAGTGCCTGCTCTGGACTGTTTGGTTACTTTTTCACAAAGGATGCGTTCAATGTGACACTGGAGCTGAAGCCTGCTTTGGAAGTGGAACTAGACTAACTGTTCTGGGTAAGTTGGGGCCCTCACACTTTCTGTTTATTGAGAAAAAAAACACGTTTGCAATGTTTAGACTATGGCTGAAGCAGTGACCTACAAAAATGTGGTCCTTTTTATTACTGGTTCAGCTCCGTGCTATTTGATATTAAGCTGGTCCACTGTGCTACTTATGAAGCCTATTTTGGTGCAGGCACAAAACTGACCGTTCTCGGTGAGTAAAACATCCGCTCGTCCCTTTGGAAGCGTTATAAATGTGTAGACGTTGGAAAGTATTTGGATATTAACCTGTGTGTACAAAAGAAAGCAAATCCGGCATGTTTAAGGTGATTGGAGTAAAGTTCAGCTTACTGTGCTGGTGGTTTTGTTTTTGAGGCTTTTTTCAATGGAGGCACCAGGTCGACTGTTTTAGTTAAGAAATAAAGTGAAAGAACTAGAATATAAATCAGAATATCATTTAATGGTTGTTTTTCATCTGATGGCAAAATACCCAAAAGCCTGAATGACACCTTCAGGTAATGAGTGATGCAATAATAGCCATAAAACTCACTATATTTATATATATATATATATCTATATATATATATATAAATGTGTCCTGTTGCTGCCGTGGTTTCAAGGGCGATCCTTAGCAGACTCTAGCTGTCGACTACTGTCGATCTCTATGAAAAGCTCAAAGTCTGAAACTATGACAAAGCTTGATAAATTGCAAAGAGGAGCCCCAAGAGACAAGGAAGAGGTTTTTGTAACAGTCTGAGAGCTCTGTGTTCATTCAGCGAGGCTTATTTCGGCGCTGGAACTAAACTGACCGTCTTAGGTAAGATAATCTGCAGCGAAGACTCAAACTACACGTCTTAATATGATAGAAATAATGTGTGATAAGTGTGCTTCACTTTTTGGGTGGTTTTATTAATCAGCCATAAACATATTCAAGCTGTTTTTAAAAAGTGAAAGCTATTAAAGCACAAAGTTAGTCTTGTGTCAGTGCTGATTAGTCTTCAGCAAAGTGCTGCAGCTATAAAAGAATTGGCTCTATGCCCAGATTATCTGTGGCTACACGGAGTTCTGATCATCTCGGTGAGCGACTGCGTATTCCCAGTCTGAGACTCACTTTGGGAACTAACCCCACAGTTTCAGGTAAGGTGCAAAAATAGAACATTTTAACAGGCACAAATGTATTTTATCATGCAATAGTCCATAAATTAAAACCTAATTGTAAGTAAGTCGAGTTACTGTAGCATCATTAAAGGTTCCTGACTTTGTCTAAAATCTAAAATCTGTCTAATTAGGTTTTGTTATGAAGAGTAAATTTGGAGAAATTTGAATTTTTCATAAAGAGAAAAAAAAAAGATCATTTCCAGCTGTTGATAGCACAAACAATTTTTACTACGCTGCATATCAGTGTGGCAAACTACAACCCTGCTTACTTTGGTACTGGCACCAAACTGACAGTTTTGGGTAAGAAACCTTATGCATGTTTTTTTTCCACTGCCGAGAACCTCTGAGAAGTTCTAATGTAAGTTTAGGGCTGTAAAAAGAGCAAAGTTTGAATGTTCATACTTGGGTGTAGACAGAATCACAAAGTTCTAAACACGTTGCTGTGGATTTAAAACAATGTGCCATGAAATTTATTTCAAATGTCTTCTATATCTAAGATATATGCTGCAAAAGCAGCATTTTGGAAAAAAGAAAAAAAGAGATGTGGCGTCAGAAGCTTACCTTACATCATTATTTATTTCATTTTACTTTCTTTTTACCCAGTAATCACCTGCTGTTTTTCCAAAAGATCCAAAAATCCAAAAAATAATGACAAAGCAGGATTTTTTTTAAAAAGGGTAACTTTTTTTTATCTTTGGGTATTCAAAATGGGAATAATGAGACTGTTTGCATTCTAATGATTCGATTCTCTTTGTCCCACAGCACCAAATAGAACAGCTGAGCCACCAAAGGTGAAAGTGTTTAAACCTTCAACAAAGGAGTGTCAAAATGAAAAAGACAAGAAAAACAAGAAGACCTTGCTGTGTGTGGCCTCTGGTTTCTATCCGGACCATGTGAATGTGTCCTGGCAGATTGATGGGGTGGACGTCAAAGATGGCATCGCCACCGATCACTCTGCCCACTGGAATGGTACCCACTACCGCATCACAAGCAGGCTGAGAGTCTTATTTTCACAGTGGTTCAAACCAGGCAAGAATTTCACCTGCACCGTCGACTTCTTTGATGGGGAGCAGACGGTTCCTTCTGTAGGCTGGGTCGCAGGCATTCGAAGTACGTTCATTTACAATCTTTAAATGTGTCAAAATCATCTGAAATAGTTTGACTTGATTTCACTGAAAAAAATCGTTTTTCTTTTTCTTAGATCCAGGAGCTGCAGCAATAAGAAGTAAATATTATTAATAATATTATTAATAACTATAACCCAGTGTGTCTGCTCTATACTGAGCTGGGAAAATAATACAAATCTTACAATTTTGTGCAGACAAGTATCTGAAGACCACCCACAATGCCAAGCTGTCATATCTGGTTTTGATCATCAAGAGCAGCATCTACGGACTCTTTGTGATTATCCTGGTGTGGAAACTTCAGGTTGGTCCAAAACGATCCAGCTCCTGTTTGTGCCATGAGCAGTGGTCGTTATATGAAACATATCTCAATACAAAACAATCATTTAACAGCACCACGTGCTTCTTCCTCCAAAGGAACCTGTCTGAAACTGAATCTAAATGTAATGCAGGATCGATTTGTTAGACCGCCGTAAAAATTAGCAGCTAAGAAAAACATCAGTTAGCCTGTTTTTCTTGAATATGTCTTTTTTCTCAGCAACTATCACTCAACAATTAAGACCTATTGAAAACATTTTAAAAGCTAATGAGCTAAAACGAATGAATATAAAGGTATCATTTAAAATAACAAGGAAGGGGTTTTGTTGTTGATGTTGTTTAAAGTTTATAGATTTATAGATTCTCCATGACAATATTTCAGTCACCCCAGCAGTATTTTTCATTAAATATCTCAATCAATCACTTTTAAAATTAGTGTAATAATATTTTCTCAGTGATCTCAGCACCGGTGGGTGGTATTATATATGTAAAAACTCTGACAAAGTGATCATTATTACCACAGAAGCTCTGAAAAGGATTTCTTATAGTTATCATTTAGTGCATCCAAGAAAACTGCTTTACATCCACGTCATTTCTGAATTTCTTTGTGCTTGATTGATAATTAAAAATTAGTAGGAAGGTGAAGCTTGCCTTCTTTATAGTCAGTTTATTTAGTGAAGACTCACTGAAGACATGAGGCTTTACGTTTAAACCTTTGTTTAAAGAGCGACTCTGTAAACTGAAAACGTGTTTCCTGTCTTCACAGGGGTTTTCAAGAAAACCAGAGAAATGAGAGCTGAGCTGAACGACTGAGCTGCTTTCTGTGAAAACAAAAACATTCACAGTATCCTAAAGCTTTGCTTTCCATTTGACTTTCTTCCATTTAGTATACAAATAAGTGCACATCCTGTGCTGTTATTAGTTATTATTCTGTTAGTTTGTGTAAGTGCTTTGTGCTCAGTTTGCTTCTTAATAAAAGTACTCCTTAAACACACAACTGTTTATTTCTTTCATATATGAGTCTGAGGCAGTTCTGCCTGACAGTACAGCATACAGTTACTCATCAGGTGCAGTTTCAGGTATTATTCATTTATGTCTGAGCCTTCACTACACTGCATGGCTAGCAGGGAGCTATTTTTAGCAGCCTGTTATCTGTTGGGTTTCTGAGAACTCACCCTTATATTTTCCATTTTCTATGAACTCCAACTCAAAAACATTGGGCCATTTTTACTGTGGCATGTTGCCCTGTCTGTAAAACCTGTTCAAGATTCACTTTTTCCATTCTCAGTGAGTAAAGCTGTGTTTTTTTCACAGTAGGTGGAGGGCTATAGATATTGAAGTATGCGTGTAAAATGTGAGTCAACCACAGCTCGTACGAACAGGAAATCAATACTCTCCTCTCTCCAGAGAAGGAGGTTGAAGCTGTTGTTTTGTGAGGAACAAACCAGGTCATGACAGCTTACGGAGGCGTTGAGAGCAAGAGCAGAGCACAGGATGTGGTCACAGAGTGAGACGAGCGAGCGGCAGATTGCGGAGAAGCTTCAGAGGTGCAGACTTCCGCTTCACCGCAACCTTCACAAGCATTAACACGCACCTGTGCACCAGCTCCCCACTCTGCAGCGCTGCACCAAGCACACTAACTGTGTCAACTGAAGCTACGCTGGGAGACAGCAGCTGTTCTGTGTGCATACGGATAACTGCAGCCTTTTATTTAGAGTTTGAGGTCACATAAGTTCATCAGAACTATCAAGCACAATAAAGTGCTCATTTCCTTTTTCCTAATCAGAGGATGTTTATATCACAACAGAGTTTTGATCTCCTCAAGCTGAGAGTTCTGCTTCAGAGTTAAGAGTACTGACCCTAATCCTTTAATGCTCACAACAGCATTACATAACAAGAAGGTAACAATAAACTACGATGATTATAATAAAACTATAATATAATAAATCGTTTTTGGGGGCTTGACTTCCTATTAGTACATAAAGCTAACATCTGTCCATCCACTTTCTTTTGTTAATCCAACTCAGCCCAGGGCTGGAAAAAAAACAGCTCATTTAATTCAACAAAGAACAACCTCATATTGCCCCTTAGTCTGCATTATCAGATGAAGGAGTGTTTCATGGGGATATGTTAACTAGTCTATTTTATTTTCCCTACACGTCACACCCTTCATATAAGAGCTGTCTCTATCTGAAAGTAAGATTTACCATTAAAACTGGGATCTGCCTCTATCGCCTGATCATTGCTCCCATTTTTAGACTGCGTGAGAAAGACTGAACTCAAACATGCTGCCTGTAGATGCAGGAGGTGGCTATTGGTAAAGATTTATATCAAAATAATACATTAAAATGTCCTTTAAGAATTCACACTCTGAGGTGCTTTTCCAGTTTAAATATGATTGTAGTTTAAGTATGACACTGGGATGGTATTCACTTTGTGCTATTTTTACTCTTACTGGCCACCAAAGTGCTTTGTAATAAAATCATTATTACTGTGTTTGTGTTTTATCTGTCAGAAGAGTAGCAGATGTGATAGTAAAATCACAAAACTTATCACAGTTCAACACTCTTTTTATGAACACGTTACCCTTCAATTTAGAGTTTTGAGGGAGTGTTTATAGATTCATAATAGTTCAGTCGTTTAACTAAACCTGATTAAAATAGGTTTTGAATTCAGTCCACAGGTGTAACACAGCAGACACCTGTCAGACTCAGTCACAATTATAGAAAGATGTTAAACATGGAAACCTGTTGTTTTATGAAAGGTTTACACCCTTACTGGGTTTTAACCTCTTAGAACTTGTCCCGCAGAGACATCTTGCTTTTGTGTATAACATGACACTAACCAGGTCACGATGAGAAAATGTATTTAAAATGGTGAAATACTACAGAAAAATGTTAATTAGCCCGAATGATGAGATACTCGAGAAACAGTTTTATTATTTAAACCAGAGTTACAAGATCAAAATGTGGAATGCATTATCAGAGGGTACAAGAGATTTAATCAGATTAAACACTGAAATAAAAAAGTATAAAACTATATTTGGGTTTCAATAAAACACAAGTTATGTAATTACAGTATATTTGAAGGGGTTTGAGGAGATCCATGATCATATATGTGTTTTTCTACAGCTTATTAAATGCTTATAAACTGTTTATTTTTTCAGCCTTATGAAACAAAGCAAGTGTTGATGGGCTTAGTGTAGGAACAACTCAGGAACAACTTCAGTGCTGTGTTCATCTATCAGCTGTGACTGATGGGAAATGAAACAAGCTGTACATTAATAAATTATAAATATGTTTACCTTAATCAGAGAGTGCTAGTGTTCCTGAGAGTAACACACCCAGGCCTGCTCATACAGCCACGCATAGGATGCATCTGCACTATATCAGTGTCTCCATCTGCTGGGCAAACCATGCCACTACATCAAGAGCTTAAAGGCTACTATAGACGGTAAGTTTAACACATAAAGCAAAAATCAGCACAAATACTTTTCAGATGTTTTAATGAGTCAAAATGAACATGATTGATTTTATTGGCACATTTGGGGATGAAGGAACAAAGTGAATCTTAAATATTAAAATGTTTCTTAAAGAAGAAAAGCTATCAAGCTCCAGAAAATTACACTAGAATAAATGCAGACATGGTTGCAATTAATCCAGCAGGATCCAGCAGAGCCGCAGAGCGATGGCTAACAGAGACAGAGTGATGCTCCGGGCTGCAGAGCCGGTCAGCTTGTTGCTACCCAGAAGGGCACGAGCTATACTTCACTCCTATCATGGACACACCCTCACTTGCCAGCAGCATGTCAGAGAAGACGATTGATTTTGGGTTTGTGTCTGTACCTAGGCCTCCTACACTGACATTGAGCATCTTGTCACTTTCTTTAATACATATTAGTCTGTTATCCTCAACAACATGTATTATTCTATGTATTATTGTAGGGTCTACCTTACAATATAAAGCACCTGGAGACACTTTTCTTGTGCGTTTTGTGCTGTATAAATAAGATTGAATTGAAGTGAACATTAGGAACATCCTGTTCACCTAGAATGTCATTTTAAATGCAGCTGTCATCCAGCAGATAAAACATCATCATTAGCTCCCAAAATTCACTCTGCCACGTCCTTTCTGTCAGTCAGATGTGGAGTGAATCTCACTCTAATCCCTATTGTTCCAGCTTTAAAACCTGTTACCTAAAAGTCAAAGAGAGGTTGACTGTATGACGTCGGTTCATCAGTTCATTGCTCTAGATTTTACAGGTCTACAGCAAATGGGCTAATAACTGCATATTCACTCTTTATTTATTCAATTTTTAACATAACGCTCTTGGAGTTTGACTTGATCAGAGGTGGCAGTAATGCGCAGGAAAAACAACACGAGTCCATCTACAAGGAGGCTGTGGGGTAGCACGGGCAGTCACCAGTGTTTTTAATTGTCATCAGGGGTTAGATGGTGGGGTGATATTTGGAATAATGTGTATGTAAGCAGACAGTTTGGTCTATAACCATGGCTGTATAAAGAGAAACTAAACTTTATAAATAGCGCCCCATTCACTGCACTGTTGAAAACCCTCCACACAGCTAAACAAAGCACCATATACCAGACATTAGACAGCTCCTGCAGAGCTTCCATTACTTATTCAAACGAATTCAAATTCAGAAAAATTATATCTTGTGGGGTGAAAAAGCTGGTCTTTTCTTTGGAATTTGGAAAATACTGCAGTGCATTTGTCATGATCTGAGTGTTTCAAAGAATAAACAAAGTAAACATGCCTGGGCTCGGTTCAGTTAAGAATAATTCAGAAAACCTAAATTGCTGTCGCCCACTTAGCAGCTAAACATTCGCTTGGTTTGAAGTGCGAGCAGTTAGCATGTACCTAAACTGGAGAAATTCATGTTCTGCTAACTCCAAACTGGTCTGGTTCCACTTTAGCTTGTTCGATATTATTAATAACTATTATCAATTATTATCAGTCTAAGTCCACTGAATATTTGTAGAGAGCTGTACAGTCACAGAGGCTAACAATAAGCTCAGTGCTGGATCAGTAGACCAAACTGTGGGGCTAGCTGCTTATTAAACCCAAATTTCTCATTTTGAAATTAAAGCTGCACCCTAGCAAACATATTGGAAAATATTACTAAAATTAAAGATGAAACAACATTAGGGACATGTCACGGTGTCAGTTTGACATATATTTTCAATATCACTGAGAATTTGTTTTCAATAACTGTTTTCTATTATCTATTTGGTAATGAGAATAAACAAAATGTAAAACATTTTAACGTTTCTCAATGAAAAGAACGAGAAGATATCTGATGTTTCAAACAGTGTTCGGCCCACTTCTTATCTATTAAACTAACTAACCGCACATAAGAGCAGCAGCATTCCTGAGTTTATGATGCTCATCTCAGACAGAGCGAGCATAATCACATGATGCAGAATTTAGAAATATTAAATCATAAATAGCTTCACAGTGTCATTTCTTTTCCTAAAACAGGCTCCAGCAATACTAGTCTGTGTACATGGAGCAGACTGACGTCTGATCACAATCAGTTCTACGCATATTAGTTGTTGTTGTTTGAGAAAAAACAAAGGTGAACACTTTAATCCTTCTTTGCAATAATCTGATTTGTATTTCTCGAGTTGTAAGCCGCAGTCAAACCCAACCTCTACTCTGCTTGGAAATAAGACTGACATCCATCTGTCCACCATTCTGTTTTTGGCACAGTACCACGATCAGCTTTAATCAGAGGTGAGGTTTGGGTTGCTGGAAACTGTGACAAAGTTCCCAACACTGGTCCTAATAGTTTCATTACTAAAAGATTTTTCAACAGGACAGAAAAACACAACAATTAAAGAAGAGATGGATGAAAGGAGGGCAGTCTACTGCTGGAGGCCAGACGGCTCTCTTTCTCTGCCTGTTTAATACCTCCAACACACACACACACACTCACAGTTAATAACTGTATTCCAGATCAGCAGTAATCATCT